AGGGGCTCCGCACAATAAAAGGAACAGGGAACAGAGAACAGAGAATAAGAATTTCAACCTATCAGAAATCATGTATTGTGGAATACGCAGTGTGTATTTCTGATAGGTTGAAATTAGATAGATAGACTTCGAATTTTAAATAAAAATTTTAAGAACATGTTCTCTCGAAGAGTTATACTACCGATTTATGGAAAAAAATGATTTTTTTTACTTTGCAAACCATGCGCCCCCTTAAGTTAAATTTACTTCAAAGTTATTCATAAGATTCTCTAATCTTACTTGGAATCTCTTGGAAAATCTGGGAATTTTCAAGGAATGCTTTTGGAAGATTTTATTAATCAGTCTATAAAACAAGACTTCTGTTTGTTTTATTCATTAACGGAAAATATAATTTTATTATCAACATTTAAGATTGTCAACATATATGTGATTTGTATTCGAACTTCTTAGAGATTCGAAATTTTTAAATAATTTGCATTCGAACTGTAGGGATTCAAATCCGAATTGAATAATTCGCACATCTAGTATTTACGTCCCCGGCCAAAAGTTCGGAAAGTTCAGACTTGTGGTATTTTCGCATTTTTTCATGAAAAGTTAAATACGTCAGTGAAAAAAATTGTAGAGAAGTTTTCGACCACGTATTTTAAAGCGCAAAGGTAGGACATTAAATTTGCGTTGGAATTTTTTTCTACATTTTATTCTTAAATTACATAAAATTGAAAATTGATTTTTTGTAAGATTTTTGTCTTACTGAAGCGATGGATTGATAAAACTTTGGATAAAATTTAACATAAAAGTACTGTAAAATAGGCTTTTTAAGTTTTAAAATGTTTTTGAAAAAAAAATGGTACGGTGAAATTTTTCGCAGATATTGAATTTTTTATTGTGTACAAAAATCTTTCTTTAAAGTAAATTGACGGTTAAAGAAAATTTCAAAAAAATTTGTGCAAATCAGGTATATAACAAATATTTTCTTTCTTTTGTCTTTTTTTCGTAAGCTTTGAGCCGAGCCAAACTTTGAGCCTAGGAAACAGAAAAAAGTCGCTGGGGCCCAGATCTGGTGAATACGGATGGTCAATTAATTCGAACTGCAATTCGTGAATTTTTACCATAGTGACCGCCGAAGTGTGAGACGGTGCATTATCTTGATGAAACAGTACTTTCTTCTTTTTCAAATGCAGTCGTTTTTTCTCAATTTCTGCCTTCAGCTTGTCAAGCAATGATGCGTAGTACGTCCTTATTATTGTTTTACCTTTTTCAAGATAGTCGATCAACACAATTCCATGACTGTCCCAAAAAACAGTCGCCATCACCTTTCCTGCCGATAAAACCGTCTTCGCTTTCTTCGGAGCAGGTTCACCCTTCGCAGTCCACTGTTTTGATTGTTCTTTCGTTTCAGGAGTGAAGTGGTGGACCCAAGTTTCATCAACTGTTATTAATCGACGCACAAAATCCGACTCGTTTCGCTTAAACCGCTCCAACAGGGTCTTAGAAATGTTCATTCGAATGTGTTTTTGATCCAGAGTGAGCAAGCGCGGCACCCAACGCGCGGTTAACTTACACATGCCTAATTCTTCAGTCAATATATGACAAATACGTTCTTTTAATATGTCAATAGCCTCTGCTATCTCCCTAATCTTAATTCGACGGTTGTCCATTATCATTTGATGAATTTCTTCGATGTTATCGGTGGTGGTCACAGTTGTTGGCCGTCCCGAACGCTCATCATCAGCTAAGCTGGTACGACAACGTTTAAATTCAGCTACCCATCTTTTCACGGTGGCAAATGATGGGGCAGAGTCTCCGTAAACAGCGTCCAACTCGGCTTTAATTTGCGTAGACGTATTGCCTTTCAAATGCAAGAATTTAATTATAGCACGATATTCAATTTTTTCCATTTTTACAAAATGACGACACAAATGATTGTCAAACAAGAACTGAACGTCCAAAGTGGCCACAATTGTCACAGATATCTTTCGTAAGTATCACGATTATAATACCAGAATGGCTTTGACGAGTAACGCCATCTTCATGATGAGGCTTAAAACTTTTCAGACGACCCTCGTATTTCCAAACTTTTGGTCGTGAACGTAATGTCGAAATGTAATGTATGTATTGCTTTTATTAGGTGTTGAACTTAATTCCTGCCGTTTTTCGTCTCCAAAATTGATTTATTTCGAAAGGAAATACCTTAATCAAAGTATTATTAATAAAGTATTATTAATTAATAATACTTTATTAATAATACTTTGATTAAGGTATTTCCTTTCGAAATAAATCAATTTTGGAGACGAAAAACGGCAGGAATTAAGTTCAACACCTAATATTAAGAAGGTATAAGTTGTAGAATTACATATTATTGAACAAAAACTTTGCAAATAATAATAATAATAATCAAGATAATAATTGTTATACTCTAATCGCAATAGTCGCAAGTTTTCAACATTATTTCGTTGCAGACACTGTATTGTTTCTCCAAAATTATCGGGTCTTAAAGTGCCTCCGTTGAAGAGTTCTCTCTCTCCGCCATCATTATGCAATCTAGAGGACATTCACGGTTACTTGTTGCCAATGCTGATTGTACTTGGACCGAATCTGCATCAGGATCCTATTCTAATGTACAAGGTGATGAGATTGTGTCACTCCGCTATTAAGCACTGTTCACTTGACGCCAGCAAGCAACCATTGAATAAGAACTGCAGTCTCTATTATGATGTTCTGACGATACTTGACGTCGCGTTACTACCTTCCCTTTCCTTCATGGATTGCAACTGTTGTGTTGCTGAGGAATTGTGGAATATTCTCAAATACTATCCATATCAGAATCGCTATTGTCTGTACGCGCGCTGGAAGAATGATACGCCTTTACAACATGCTGCATTGCTGCGGAAACGTGCAGATGCTCAAAAAAAGATCAAGTCAATCATGAAGCGCGTGAGCAAAGAAACGATCAAGCCAGTTGGCCGGTCAATAGGAAAACTTACGCATTCTTCACCAGGTGTACTATTCGATTATGTCCTCATACAGATCCAGTTATATGACAATCTCATAGGTACGTATCGAATATATACTTTCTGTCGTTCTAATCATTTTCGCAAAGAAAGATCGTAACGTGCTCGTTGTATTGGATGCAGGACCTGTGGTGGACTCTTTAAAATATTTGACAAATATTTCGTACGACGTTTTGGGATATTGTCTTGTAGAAGCGTTAGCGGGTGCTGACAGAGATAGATTTAAACATGATGGCACCAGTATATCCTTATGGTTACAATCTCTGGCTTCTTTTTGTGGAGCAATATTTAAGAAGTATAACATCGAATTAACAGGGTTGTTACAATATGTAGCGAATCAACTTAAAGCTCAAAAGAGGTACGGTCTCACGTAGATAAATTGCATTAAATCCAATTATTATCAATCATATATTAATCAGTTTGCTTTAATATACCGCTCTGCTTTTAGCCTAGATTTATTAATATTAAAAGAAATAGTACAAAAAATGGCTGGTATCGAGGCCGCCGAAGAAATGACGTCTGATCAACTCGATGCTATGGCAGGCGGAGATCTGTTAAAAAATGAGGTAAACTGTAGCATCGCATAAATTTGCAGTGTCGTAATTTTGACGCACACAAATTAACATAAAAACTTCTTCTCTTAAGGCCGGTTACTTTAGTCAAGTCCGCAACACAAAGAAATCCTCACAGCGTTTGAAGGAAACACTCGCCGAGCAAGACCTCGCGGTCACTTTGTGCCTGTTAATGGCGCAACAGAAACATTGCGTTGTTTACAGAGAGACGGATAAATCTCATTTAAAACTCGTTGGTAAATAGAATTATATGACGAGCAAGATAAAAATTTAAAAATAAAAATTTTCTTCTTTCTGATAGATATTTGCTATTTTTTTTTTTATAATAGGCAAGTTGTACGATCAATGCCAGGATACGCTCGTGCAATTTGGGACTTTCTTGGGTTCGACTATGACAGTAGACGAGTATGTGGAGCGACTACCGTCGATCCATTCTATGCTTCAGGACAATCACATACATGCAGATGTCGCATTTTTTTTAGCACGGCCAATGTTTGCGCATGCCATAAATGTAAGCAAGTTATTTATATTCATGTTTGAATTTTCCTGATAATAACATTGATTAAGTATATATCAGCCATTAATTTAGTTAAAAGATATTTAAATTTGCGTACAATTTGTTATCAAACAAAAGTATAGATTTTTAAAATACGTATTTTTGTATTTTCTTAAATTAATTTTCTCAAAGATAAAATATGACGCTCTCCGTAAAGCTGATCCGAATTATAAAAAAATGTCCACGGCTATGAAGCAATTAAAGTACGCGGAAGCTGCGCAAACCGTTATGGCACCTGTCGCTCAGTCTGTCAGACCGTTGCACCCTTTAAAAGTTTGGGAGGACATATCGCCGCAATTCTTAGTTACGTTTTGGTCTTTGTCGATGTATGATTTATACGTGCCGATGGAGAGCTATCAAAGAGAAGTCGGCAAGTTGAAGCAACTTGCAGTTCAAACCGTTGATTCCAAAGATATGGTACGCGAATATTATACATTTATTATTGATTACAGTGCTCTATGATTAAAAAATAATTTATTTCAAACTTGAAAATGTTATTCTTCTCTGATTTAAAGTAATGCTAATTTTTAGAATATAAGTAAAGGAAAGAAGGAACAAGAAAGATATACCACTCTTATTGAGAAGATGCAGGATGAAAAAAAGAAACAAGAAGAACATGTCGAAAAAGTTTTTGCGTACCTGAGGTAAAATATCTCGTTATTTCTTATAACATAATATAAGACAATTATAAGACAGTGCTGGAATTTATTTGCCGATCGGTATTTAGAATGCGCGCAGATTGGTGAGGTAAGGGACGGAAACCAAGCTGAAAATCGGCTGAAAGTTGTAAGTAAATTCTAGCACTGTCTTATAACATATAAGTATAACGAATATTATTGTTGTAATTGTATAATGTAGCAATTCAGTTTAATACTGATCGTACGTTTATAACTGACTTATAGACAAGAAAAGGATACATGGTTTTTGTCACGAAGCGCTAAATCGGCGAAAAACGAAACGATAACACAGTTTCTACAGTTGTGCCTATTCCCGCGGTGTACATTTACAACTGTAGATGCCATGTACTGTGCGAAATTTGTACATACCATCCACTCCCTGAAGACTGCAAATTTTTCAACTCTGCTTTGTTACGATCGTGTAAGGAAGTCCTCTCTAATATTCTTGTTATTGTAGATAATTAAAGTGGCATATTAATTTATTATTTTTATTTGTCTTATTTTTTGTCCAAGTTTTATTTGGTGTGTAAAATAAATGTATATTGTTACACTTCATTATATTTTTATGATAAAATTGATTTCTTTCAGCTTTTCTGTGATATTACATATTCAGTTACTTCATGCACAGAGAACGAAGCAAATCGATATGGCAGATTTTTATGCGCCATGCTGGAAACTGTGATGAGATGGCATTCCGAAAAAGCCATATTTGATAAGGTAAGTTACAATTTTGCACATTTCGAGATTCTTAGAGAAGATATTTAGAAAAGATATTTACGCTTTTGTTTTGTTATTTTGATACTTTTATTTAATCTGAATATGTATTAGTAAATATCTTCTGGTGTGTAGGAATGCAGTAATTACCCTGGTTTCGTGACCAAGTTTCGTGTAAGCAATCAATTTTCCGAAGCGAATGATATGGTCGGATTTGAAAATTATAGACACGTGTGTCACAAGTGGCATTATAAGATTACAAAGGTATTTACATGATCTCATGAGCAATGTTCTGTATATTATATACGTATATTTGAATATATGTATAGGTACTTTTTCACAATGTACAGTGGGCCAGAAAACCCGAAAACTGGCCAAAAGTCGAGTTTAAAATTTACTGTAAACAATATTTCATGTGTCATAAGAATATTTCAGAGAACATATAAATGAACTGTATAATAAGATTTTGGTAACAGGTTTCGAGAAATAGCCGCTTGATTACAAAATACAGGTGATAATTTCAGACCTATCTTTAAAATAAAAAACATTAAAACTATGAATATAAACTTTATAAATTAAATATTTAAAAATAGTATTTGTTTTAAAAATGGATAAATAATAATGCTATACATTTATTTACTCTAAATATTAGCACTATTTTTTGTGGCTGAGCTATTTACGCGAATATTTCTGATTTAAATAGATTATGACTTAACACAAATCCATCGTGCCGACACTGTACAGCCTCGGAATTGATTTTTTTTTATTACGTTTTGTTCGTATGGATATGGTTGACGAGAACAAGTTGCCATTTTTTGCCACTTTTGCTCGTTACTAAAGATATTTATTTTCCCACTACTACACAGTAGGCCAAGAGACTCGAATAAATGACCAAAAATCCATTTACTCCAAAATTTTTGATAAAATTATGAAAAATTATGATCATGTACTGTTCTTCGGATCGCTGATTTCGAATCTGATGTCAGAATTGCACAATTCAAAATGGCAGATCCAAAATAGCGAACAATTTTCTATAATAATTGTCTAATTTTTATGAAATTTAGTAGTATATATCGATTTTTTAATTTTTTAATTTTAAAATTTGAATGTAGTTAAACATTTTTGAAAATTGATTAATTAATTATTATTCAAACATAATTACAAATTTTCATCATACTGCTCTTCATTAGTCAAATGACCGTATCATGCAAACTTTCGTAAAAATTTGTAAGGCCGCTTGAGTCATCCTCTTTCTCGGTCTCGTTTGATTGAGAAAAAGAAAAAATGTTTTTGTCTCGCAACAATAGAAGATGTATTTAACAGAACTATGGATACTTCTGACCCCATTATATCTACACTTAACCTTAATTCGCGAATTTAGAAAAGGCAGCAAAATGCACAAGGCTATCCCCAAAGAAGTAATTCACTTGCTTGACATTCCTAAGTTCGACCAGTCAATGGATTTTCTTTCTGAATGAAATGAAACCGAGAAAGAAGATGACTCAAGCGACCTTACAAATTTTTACGAAAGTTTGCATGATACGGAGATGACTAATGAAGAACAGTGTGATGAAGGAGATTTGTAATTACGTTTGAATACTAATTAACCAGTTAAAAAAAATGTTAAAAATATAAAAATGATAAAATACAAAAAAAATTAAAAAATAAAATACAAAAAAGTAAAAATAAAAAAAACAGCAAAATGGAGTCAATATCCGTCACATCCTCGATTCGTGACTCTGGATACGGCAAAGAGCAGTAGTAATTTAAATTTAAAGTTCGAACTTTTTTCTCCTTTCACTTAAATGTTTACTTTGAAATTAGCCATATTGGATCCGTCATCTGTAATTTTAAAAATTGTAATGTCTAACTCGTAATCAACGACCCTAAAAAAATGTTTTTATTAAAAATCTACTGGTTTTTGCATTTTCGGGTCGCCATTTTGGATCCGCTATTTTGAATTATGAAATTCTGACATCAGATTCGGAATTAGCGTCGATCCAAAAAACCGTTATATATTTAATTTCATAATAATTAGACGATTATTATAAAAAATTGGCCGTCATTTTGGATCCGCCATTTTGAATTTCTAAATTTTGAGTTCGAATTCGAAATCAGTGACCCCAAAAACCCTTAGATACCGTATTTTATGCTAATCCATCAACATTTTGAATTTTGGCCAAGATTTTGGGTTGTCTGGCCTACTGTGCAATGCTGAGAATGAATACTCTTGTGATTGAATTAATTTTCTTTTATAGGCTATTGTAGTGTGTCTAGATTCGAAGGATTATGTGCAAATAAGGAACTCTTTGATAATATTGATCAAGATATTGCCTCATTTTCCTGTTTTGGCGAAACTCTCTCAGATCCTCGAACGTAAAGTGGAGAAAGTAAGAGAGGAGGAACGTGGTCAACGTCAAGATTTACACGTCTTAGCTACATCATATAGTGGGCAGTTGAAAGCTAAAACTCCCAATATGATACGTGAATCAGACTTCCACCATGTAGGTGATAAGGTAATAAAAAAATTATCTTATATATATATATATTATACATATATATATAATGTAATAACTTTCTCTAATTGATAATTTTCTCAAATACTTTTAAAGTGTAATTTTTCTGCTTTATAAACTTATATTGATTATACAGGGTGGATCATTTTAATCGATCAACCCAAATATCTCCAAAAGTAAGCGCTATACAAAAAAAATTGTTTAAACATAAGTTGTTCAGGACAACGGGGGACAATCATCAGGACAATCATCTTTCTGCATTATTGGTTTTGACCTTAAGGTCAATTTTTAAGGTTATTTGAAGGTCAAAATAATTTTTTTAATAATGAGAACTCCTATTTTCGACACCGGATTCGGAAAGAGCGGGAAATTTTACGTCAGAAATGATAGTTTGATAATTTGTTAAAGTGACCTTCAGAAAGTCAAATGTTGAAAAATCGTCCAGAAGCTGTTTTCTTCAAACTTTAGAACATTTATGGGCGAACAAATGTTTTAGTAGGTTTGGAGGCCAACGACCTTGGCTATCTTGTCCTTGAGGTCAAATTTAAAGGTTATTAGAAGGTCAAAGTGATTTTTTTATGAAAAACCTTACTTTCCTCGCTAATCTTACTTTTAGCGTTACCCAGAAATAACGACGTAGTAAGTTCTGTTTCCTTTGGGGTGCTTGTTTACCGTGAGTCCCTTTGCCTCTCACGATTGGGGTGCTTGTTTACCGTCAGTCCCCTTGCCTCTGACTTTAACCATATTAAAGCGAGTGTTCAAAGTTGCCTCCATTAGCTTCAAGACACAAATTTACATGCCTTTGGAAATGTTGCACTGTCCTTAGCAAAGTTTCCCTTGGGATTGCAACGCAGGCTCGACGAATACGGTCTATCATGTCTTCTCTGGTTGTTGGCCGTTGTGTAAAAACATCTTTTAAGAAGCCCCATAAATAAAAATCGGGAGATGGCATGTTTGGTGAGCACGGAGGCCAGTTAACTGGACCTCCTCGTCCAATCCACCTCTCATTATAATTATCATTTAGAAATTCGCCTACTATTAGCGCAAAGTGGGGTGCTGCACCATCTTGCTGTAACCACATTTTCTGCCGTGTTTCTAAATCGACATCCAAAAGCTCTGGCAATCGATCCCTAAGCAATTCCAAATAGGTATATCTATCGACATTTCCCTCAAAACCATAAGGTCCGATCGAAAAAATCACTTTGACCTTCTAATAACCTTTAAATTTGACTTCAAGGTCAAGATAGCCAAGGTCGTTGGCCTCCAAACCTACTAAAACATTTGTTCGCCCATAAATGTTCTAAAGTTTGAAGAAAACAGCTTCTAGACGATTTTTCAACATTTGACCTTCTGAAGATCACTTTAGCAAATTATCAAACTATCATTTCTGACGTAAAATTTCCCGCTCTTTCCGAATCCGGTGTCGAAAATAGGAGTTCTCATTTAAAAAACTTATTTTGACCTTCAAATAACCTTAAAAATTGACCTTAAGGTTAAAACCAATAATGCAGAAAGACGACCCCCATTGTCCTGAACAACTTTTGTTTAAACAATTTTTTTGTATAGCGCTTACTTTTGGAGATATTTGGGTGGATCGAAAATGGCCCACCCTGTATATAAGAATTTTTTTCTTGTCTGATATACAGGGTGTCCGGAAAATCGTCCGCAATACTTCGGGAAATGATTCGAGATCCAAAAAGAAGGAAAAAAGCTATATAAACATAAGTTCGGAAACAAGTCGCTGCCGAGTTATAATCACTTTTATGTTAAAAAAAATGTAATTAATTTTTCATAATAACAATTTTAATTTATTTCATAGTGTTTTAACATAAGTAACTACATTTCGGACTATTTTAGCGTTACCCACAATGCCTCCACATGGTTGACTAAAGTCCCTTAATTAGAGTCAAGTCGTGAGGGGCGCCGATCTCGTGATTGGTCAGATTTCGAGTCCCTTTAAACGCCGCCATTTGCGGATACTTTCGATGTGGTAGTGAATCTGTGAATTGATGTGAGCAACTGTTTCATGTAGAAAGCGCGAACGCGAAATCTATCAACTGTCAACCATGGTGCTGTTTCCAGCCGGTATCCGGCACCCGGCAGTGGCGTCTTTCTGCTCTTATGTGACTCTTATTAAAGAGACTCTAACTTCGACCGATCATTGGCGCTCTCTACCGTATTATGTTGCACTATGAAATAAATTACAGTTATGAAAAATAAATTATTTTTTTTAATATAAAAGTGGTTATAACTCGGAATCGGATCTATGTTTATATAGCTTTTCTCCTTCTTTTTAAGATCCGAATCACTTCCCGAAGTATTGTGCGCGATTTTCCAGACACCAATACTTCGGGAAGTACACACACGCACGCACGCATGCATACACGCATGCACATACGGGGTAGGCCATTTTAATCTTTCTACGCTGATAACTCGAAAAGGAAGCATAAAAAAAACAAGAGAGGAAATTTGTGTGATTTTGAGGGGGGAAGAAGTTAGTGACCTTAAATTTGATGAAAGCATTCAAGGTCATTCGAAGGTTAATTTTGAAATTTCAAGGTCATTCGAAGGTTAATTTTGGAATCCCCTCTTTTTCATTCTTGTAGCATATTCTTGTAGCACACCTCTTTCCAAAACATTATAATAAAATACTTTTTCATGAAGTACTTTTCGAGTTATAAGACTTGAAGGTTGCAGTATCGTCGGCATGAGCATCACCCAAAGTGTTTAATCGATGGCTAAAATCTTTGGAATGTTGTTCCAAAGAGGAGCACTTTCAGAAGAAATGTTCCAAACAAAAGTTTCAGGATTTATATCCGAAGGTCGATACAGAAAAATATTTCAGATAAAAGTTGTTGGGGCTATGTGTCAGTGACCTTGCAGTAAAAAATCAAGGTCATTTAGTGATCAGTGCATATTCCTGCAGATAAACTGAGAATCTTTTATTTATCCCTTAAAATTATAAATTTTAACATTACCCAGGAACAACGATGTGGACGTAATAGGATCATATTTCCTTTGGGGTGCTTGTTTAACGTGAGTCCTCTTGAGTCTCACGATAGGAGGTACCTATCATCATACGACTGCCCACCGTTGTAGGCAACCGAAGAGTTGTCTTCTCTCGTCATTCGTGCGTAGCGCTATTGCGCTTGTAGTAAACAACTCTTCAAGGTCACATGGCCTCCTTTACAAAACCCAATAACTTGTATCTGAAACATTTTTCTGTATTGACTTTTGGGTATGAACGGGTGGCACTCAGTTGGACACGGCTCAATTGGACACGAGCTACTCACAGCGCTTGAGACTACAAAGCTCCTAAGCACCAGTCGCTGTGATTGGTGGTGTCCAATCGAGCCGTGATCAATCGGGATCACCCCGGTACGAACCCTGAATCATTTGTTTGAAACATTTCTTCTGAAAGTGCTCCCCTGAACAACATTCCAAAGGTTTTAGCCATCAATCGACTGACACCTTGGGTAATGTTAATGTCGGTAACTTTCAAGCCTTATAACTCGAAAAGTACTTCATGAAAAAATATTTTATTATTTTAGAAAGCTCTCGAAATGTGCTACGAGAATATGCAATGAAAAAGGTGGGGTTCCACATGAAATTTCAAAGTTGACATTCAAATAACCTTGAAATATGCTTTCAAGGTCAAATTTAAGGTTACTAACTTCTTCCCCTCTCAAAATTACACACCTTTCCTCTCTTGTGTTTTTTTGGCGGGGGGGGGG